ATATATTTAACATTTAAAATAAAAATAATAATTAAAAGAAAAATTTATTTCTAATAAAGCTTTTTTATTATTATTTTACTATAAAATATCTCTAGAATTTTAAATAATAAAAAAAGAATTAGTTAAGACAAATTTTTAAAATTCTTCTTAACAATTGATATTAAGTTACTGCAGAGAAAAATTAAAAAAAAAAAAAATTAGAAATTAAATTCATCATTTTCAACACCAGATGGCTGTTTAGTTACCTAGTTACCGTCGTTGCTTGTTAGTACCATGGCAACAATGCTTTAGATCGACCAGAAAAAGAGTGGTTGCTGTTATCTTGGCAAGAGTATTATTGTATGAAGAAGTGTCGTTGTCACCAGGTTAAAATGTTTAATATACCTGTTAAAATGTGAAATTATAAACAGATAGAAAAAGGTAGGTGTTGATCTAGGCCTAACTACTTTATCTCTATGAATAATCTACTCAAGTTTTTAGATTTACCTTGAAAAGAAATATGGTTGAATTTGAAAAATTTTATTAATTAACTATATCGATTTTTATAATATTAATGATATAATAATCACATTTAACAAGGAGAACATTTTATACATGTATTTTTATTTGATTATTCAACAAATTATATATAAACTTTCCACATGATTGATTATAATAAAGATCTTAAGTACACAATTAGTACACAAGACAAAATGTTAAACTTTAATTTAAAAACAATAAAGGATGGACTTTTATCAAATAAACTCATTCATAAGTATTAAATCTAAATAATATCAACATTCAAAACTTCTTAATAAGTAATTTATTTATTTTTCTATTTATTATAAAAGCAATTTAATCTCTATTATAATCCAATGATAAAGTGGTTTTTTATTAACACGATAACTGGATTTAACAAACAGAGGCCCATGGGCGCAAATAAGGTGGTGGGCCACCCTTTAAGAGTAGGCAAACTTGATGATTTAGAACATTTATACAAAATACTGTATACTTTACTACTTAAAAAGTATGTTTTTGAAAATTTTACTTATTATTGTAAAGATGTTAAAGCTTAAAACATTCTTATAAATTCATATAAAATTTAATTAAATAACGTTTTATTTTATAAAATATAGACAATATACATTAAACGTAATACATTTAAATTAAATAAAGCAAAATTATATAAAACATTTTCATGCTTTTTTATCTGCAAGTTAACTTTACACCAGTCAAATTTATATATATGCAGTAGTTAAGTATATAGTATAAAAAAAAATTATGTTTAAACATAGTTTTGTGGAGGCCCTGGACACTGGCCCCAAATGCCCTTATATAAAACCGGTGCCGATGATAACATTAAAACATTTATTTTTCTTTTTTCTTTGTGTTAGATCACCTATTTTAGCTTTCGTCACCCATTTTAATATATTATATTAAAAAATAATATATATTTTTTTTATACTTAAAAATATGATATGATTTCTGTGCTACATTTTGAACTTTTCTGTTATTTATTTTTAGAAAATTAGAAAAAAATGAAGATTATTAATAAACAAATATATATTTTTTTCTTATTTAATTACATTGTTTAATAGTTGTTCATTTATAAAGCTCCTAATTGAAAAAATTATGTCGAAGAAGAAAATATTTAAAAAAAATTTTAACTTTCAAAAATTGAAAGTTTAAAATGTGCAATTAAACAAAAGTAGACAGATTTTTCAATTTAGTACTTCATTGATAAATTCATTAATGTGCCTGGGACTATCAGCATTGGGAATTTTAATCTTTTCATAAGAACAAAAAAAAAAATTGGAATGGCATTCTGTTGCATTCTCACTGAAAAAAGTAGTCTGTGAATATGTACACAAAGATGAACAATTGTTCACTGGAATTATCTAGTAAAGAAAAAACAAAATAGCAAACAATATTTCTTTCATTTATTAAATATATATATATTTAAGAAAAAAAATGTACTTTTTTAAGAAAGTTTGTATGGATATTTATGATTTTTGTAAATCTGTAGTATAAAATTATAAGCTTTGTGTTATATATTAATATTTAAAAGAAATATTGTTATACTAAGTATCAAATGTTAAACTTTGATAGAAACTTTAAATAAAATACAGATGTCTTATTTAAGTTTGTTGAAATGATCAAATTTTTTAAATCTTACATTTTGAAATGTATAATTTATTATACTGGTTGAGTTCTTAAAATATATAAAACTGGTTTTAGAAACAATTTTTATTACGGATAAAAATACATTATCTTTTATTGTTATCTAATCACTGTGCAAAGTTTCATGCCTTAAGTCTCATACACATGATTTTTTTTTGTTAAATTTTCATAACACAATTATAATAGTTCTCTATATTCATGAAATTTTAAAAATATTAAGAACTATACATTAAAAAATTTATTATATACTTTTATAAAGTATTTTGATATTGAAACAATTTATTTCATAAATTTAGATAAATACATATTTTCAAAATTATTTTAAAGTGAAAATTAAAAATTGTTTTATTTTATTTAATAAACCATTTAATTAAAATACATTCTTTCAAATCTATTTGATTTATATTACATGAGAATTAGTAATCAAATATTTGTTTCAAAACCTTTGAGGCATGAAAATTTAATAATTTTCATGCCTTAAGATTTTGACACACACTAAAGACACACTTATATGGAAAAAATTGCTTTTACCTAAAATACTGAATAGCAGTTTTTTCAAAATAAGTTTTAAAAGGAAAATCTTATTTTCCTTTTATACATAAAGAAACTACACATTAATTATTGTATTAATAAACATATTTTTTTTATTTTAATTTTAAGATACAAAATTAATTTTTTCATTTCATTTAAATCTATTATTATTTTATTTTGATAATGTTAATATTTTCAAAAATTTAGTGATAAAAATAATAATTTTTATTTTTATTGAATAAATTAAACATCTTAAACTAGTACAAAATTACTATTTTTCTGAATATTTCAAATTATCTATTTTATTTTAACATCATTTTCAAAATGCATTTTGTTGGTTAGCAATTAAAATCTAGTATCTCTAATAATGATTCAAAACCACATTTTTGCATTAATGTGTTGTAAAGTCAATTTCTATACATTGCCAAAATTCTGGCAATCTATTCTGGCAAAGTATAGAAATTGAAATTGGCTTTCATAGTAAGTGGTATATACTTTTAAGCACTCTCTCTGACATTAACAAAAACTCTGAACCTTGTACTCAAAATTTTGCTCCATTGAAATGACATATTTTTTAGTTCTCCTGTAAAATTTTAGGAAATGCAGATAGGAGGTTTTGTTTCATCAACTGACAGTTTGTTTTTGAGTTTCGTATTTTTTTTTGCTGTTTTTTATTTAATTAAATTATATATGATTGATATTAGATAAAATTTTTGTTTTAAATGTTTTTACTTCCATAGTTTTAGAAATTTACATTGTGTGATTGAATTATAATAAAACCTGTCCAAAATGGAACCAGAATGAAAAAGAAAATGCATAAATGGGAAAAGTTTTTCAGAACAGAGTGCTTTTCTATGTTAAAAATCCTTTTCAAAATGAAAATGTGTCAAACTGGAAAAAAATACAGTAGATCCCCCTATAAGACGGTAGATACGTTCCGTTCTTTATGAATCAATTTTGTAGGAATCATAGTTTACGGACTACGGCTGTTTGAAAGATTTTCTTTCATAAAGTTAATCGATTCTAGACTAATTCGATTCAACATTTCCAAAATACATATATTTTTTTGAAAATAATCCGTATAAACTACGTTATAAACAAAAAATTGTAGGATTGCTTACCGAGTGTGTACCGTTCGACTACGCCCGTTGCTAAAGCTTGGTTTCGTCGCGGAACAGCGCATCAAACTGCGGCCGCGATTTCTGATATTATTTTTCTGCGAAAACTTCGTT